CGTTTTTCTTAAATCTGGGTCCAAACAAAATAACTCATTAGAAAATATTTGACTGGTATGGTGTTCGACATATTATCTTCATCAAACACTTTACACTAAGCTAGGGCTCCTGAAGAGAGAACTCGGTAAACAAAGGCCGTATGCATTGACCGAAAATTCTTCCTTTACAAGGTTTTACAACACAAATATACTTTATAATGTCCGAATTTAGTCATGTTTTTTAATAGTAAAACAGAGTTCAACCATCTTATTCGAGAGATTCTGTGATAGTACTTGTAAGTGAAAGGTGTACCGGTGAAGTATGTCAACCTTGTAAAAGCTCTCAACTCATAAACTATCATCCAAGTCAGAGCCTGTAGCAAACCATCATCGGGAGTGAGAACTTCAAGTAGCAATTGTGGAGGCTGTCTACTTCTTCCGTTTTTATTAAGCTTTGTTGTATACATCTAGTTAAAAATACCGTCTTTCTCTGGTTTCCAGGTGCTGACCTCTCATTATGAGATTTTATTGACTTAGAATATTCAGATGATGTAGTTATGATTGATAAAAACTTTACATGATCTAGAGTCTTCTGATCTCTTTAAGTAATAATTAAATCACGATAGCATGTGGTACTGTATTTTTAAACTCGAAATGTTGCTATAGGACCTGTCTGCGTTAATGCTTTAATTAATGACAGAGAACCATGTGTTTGATTCTGTCAACCACTTCACTCATTGCCGAATTTCCATCAGTTCTGCTGAGCTAAATGCCTGACAAAGTATAAGCGAGAATTTAGAAGGATCAGTTGCTTTTGCCAACTTACTCTACCTGTGGTGTAGGCTAGATGTACATCGATCAAGCAAAAAGTGGATTCACAGAGTGGCAGATTTCTGATCTTCATCGCTTTCTTTATGTGAAATGAGGCCACTAAAAACAAACTATACTCGTAGTTTAGTAGTATTCTACCGTAGGTGCTTTCGAAGCATTGATTACGCACGTTAGGATAGCCAAGTGTTCTGTACTGATATTCACCATATGATGCTAGGTAAGAAGTGACAAATACGTTATGAGGTATGGATGTGGTTGAGACATGTGTTCCGTATTCTTGACCGCCAACTACTTTGACAGGTGACGATTTTAGTGTAGAAGTAGGCTGAAAAAAAGCTATTGACGGCCAAACTAGAACATGACATCAATTCATGAAGTCATTGGTAGTTGGACAAAGCCATGTTAGTAGGTGTAGACTATCTATCTGTGGTCCTCGTGATAGTCGTAACCAATGGTTAGGTACTTTAAATGACTTATCTCAAAAACGTTTGCAATGGTACAAGTGCATCTGTTCTTCGTCGTTAACATATTCTGAATTTCTCAATTACTTATAATCTTTTTGGTGCTCTTATTTCACTAATTTGTATTTTCTCGAACCATACATTTGATGCTCAATCCTTTTAATCACTACTCGTACTAAGGTATGGTGGTTTGGATCGATTTGTACGTAAGGTCATTGATAATTGTACTACCTTATGTTGGCTAACAGGCAGATTACACATCTGAAGTCTGCTCGATTATCGTAACCAGTTGTTGAAGACGTTGAATAACACGACAATGACGTGGATGAATTCAATCCTTGTCCTCACTAAGCTCTCGAGTCCCGGAATATTCCTGTACCTTTTCTTTTCCTTTTTTTAGTTAATCTTTTCTACTACTATTATTGATATTAATGCCACTTCCACATCTCTGGAATTCCTCTCACTGCGTGAGCGGAACCTGGTAACTTGAGTAAGGGCTAATATATGTCAGTTTCTACGTCACATACTTCTGGTTGATTTTTCAGTGGTTTAATATTATATATATATATATTATAAATTAAGGGTCAACGAGTATTTTTCTATTTTTGCTCATATGCAATAAGTTATTATATGAAATTTGACAGAATAATTTCGTGATAATTTTTTGGCTAACAATTTTCTACATATACATAACTGTATAGCTTTAAAACTAAACTGACCCCGTACTTTGAATCAAAACGTAATCCTCTGTCAAAACTAATATCGTAGAAAACAGTTGACGGTTAATAAATAATTATACATCCCTAAGAAATTCAGTTACGTCCTAGCCATAATTTTGCCTTCATTGCAGGAGATAATCGTAAGCAAACTGTTATATTCGAGTGTATTTTCGTGTTTAAACTTCTTAGGTTTATTTATCAGTTAAAATAGTAATTAGGAATCAAGAACTCAAATAGGTAGACCGGCTAAAATACTTCACGAAATGCTACATTCTATCTACAGTGAACTCTTATGAAGTGTTAATTAGCTTGTAGATAACAATTTTTAGTGAACTAGTTATGAATAAAAACATAACCGGTAATCTTCATCATGCTATTTAACCCGGCTGAAATATATTATTATATAGATCATAATACACTGAAGACTGGCTTGTTCCAAAATTTAATGTTTTTTGCACTCAGTAACCTTCACTTAATGTTATTCATATGGTATTGTTTGAGTTTCAGAAAATCTTGAAACATCAAGGTTTCCTTTTCGGAAACACAAATAAACCAGTTTTCTTGTTGGAAAATATAGACATGCTATTCCATCAGACTAAATGGTTTTTACTTACAGTCGTATTTTTGAATATATTGAAGCTTAAGTGACTAGTTTAGTGTACTTTATTTCTAAAAGCAACTTCGAACTTAATACTTGATAGATTGCCTCCTAAAAGCAAGGAATGTATATCCTTACGTCATAATGTTTGACGATAGTATTGATAATATAAAAACGTAGAGACTATCAATCTTGTGAAATCCCGATTCTTTACAAAAGCTTTTAACTTCCGCGTAAGAAGTTCAAGCCCCAAGAAAATTTCTTAAATAGCACTGATTAGATTTTTGACAAAGGTAAATTCCGTGTGAGCAAAATTATTGAAACACTAACAAATTAACAAAACATACGGCCGTATGATTAGTAAATCTTTTAAAAAAACACCGACAGAAGTTTATGGATATTCTCCATAAAACCTAAATCCATTGATCGCGTGAAACATTGTAATTTGACACTTTGAAATTATCAGTAAGTGAGACCATGTACTCGGAAGTCACCATTAAAAGAGTGATTTATATTTGTATTCAACATCGGCGTTGTCGACATTAAATGTTTTTGAACACTGACATCATTTCTGTTGCAAATTCGAAATCTTTTTGATATACTTTTGAATTAGTGTAACATGCGCTCCTAGAAAAATTTGTACATACTGTAGATCTGTACTATGTTTAGTGTCCATTAGTTGTTATCACTTCCACGGGGTTTTGATATTATTAGTTTGGTTTGATTCATAATTAAAGCTTTCGCTGCTTTTCCATGTCTGTTTATAAATAGGGGTATTTTTGAGTTTACCAAGATGTTCATAGGATTAAAATGTACGTCTCGTCTACGGATCTATAAATTCTTTATAATCATAATAAAAACGCACGTGAATATATGGTATTTATTCTTTCTTTTCACATATACAAAAAAGAATAATTACTATGATGTCGAATAAAATTCCATGCGTAGGCAGAGAATAACCTAAAGTCTACCGACAATAATAAAATTTAATGACACTGTTCAATTCAAAAAATTAATTCTAATACTGCATGCCTTGCCTGATGTTCTAAAAATACTGTTTCCGTGTAGTATATAGGCGTGGTTTTCCAAATTACATTGCTGAGAAAACATCGTTGTTCAATGACACTTAAACAAAAGTAAAACGTTGATAATTTAATTCTTAATGGTTTGAACTATTCCGTTTATGTACAAGTGATTAGCTATATATAATCAGTAGCTATGTGAATAACGTACTGGAGATTGAAACAAACAGTACTAGGTTTAAAATCTAAAATGAAAGTCAACTCTGGAATCCCGGTACATCTAGCTAGAGAGTTCAAAGTAAGATAAAATGAGCAACCTTGATTTCACTGCTAACATAGTTCATCTATTCTATATCAAATGAGCATAAGTTTACAACCAGAGTTATATGTCCTTTTTCGGCTAAATTAAGTTAAGGATATTTATCATTAAATAATTAAGACAACTTATTTAACTAGTTAGTTGCATTAAAATACCACGACTCATGTTTCGACTTCCCAGTACAAAATGGAAGCCTATATTACATCATCCTGAACATTTTTTCTATTTTCCCGAAATATACCTAAGTGCATAATCCTAATTTTACGACTATCATAATTCATCGATTTGTTACGAAAGCTAAGCTGAATAAATAAATTCTGGAGAAGATTGGTTTGTAGAAAAGACTTCAAGCGCTATATACCATTTCCATATGTTTTAATTTTAAAGTTAACATTTGCAGAATAATCTTTATAGAGTATATTTAATATCGATACAATACTTACAACTTTATCAGTATAGGGTTGTGAAGATTACTAAGTTTTCGATTGAGATCATGAACCGATTGATGTTAGATCACCATTGAAAACCTGGGAACACTGGATGACCGTTGTATCCTATTGTGGGACTCCTCACTAATGTGCATCCGCAATTACGCTCGCGGGATTCGAACACAGGGCCTTTGGTCTCACGCAAAAACGCTTAACCTTAATCATAAACTTACAAATTCAGCAGAACAAAAATATAAACATGTTTTATGATATCAAAATATTTGGCAAAGATTTTGATTTGGTTGTTATTTCACTGAATTTTAGTGAATTTATCCTAATTCATTAATATGGTTCCTGGACGGTATTTATAGTCGATTAGCATATGAAAGTTACCAATATATTTCCGACTGATCAAAAACTATTAAGTAGATGAGAAAATACCTTAGTAATAAACAGAGAGCTGTAATTCTAAGTACAGTTTTTACAAACAATCTCTCCTCTGTACTTGGTGCTCGAATTAGTTCAGTCGTCAAACAAGATCTATGATATAAACGAATGATCGTCAATATATATATATAGTTAGTATTTGCAGTTATATTTACATTTTCTTTTAATTTAGCTTTGTCGAATCATTTAAAAACAAATGCCGGTCAAAGAGAATACAAGTAATCATTTAACTGATGAAGAAGAATATCGTAATGGATATCTATCACCAAATTTAATTATGTTACGTTCAAGAGGAGAAAATTTACAATTCATTACTAAATTAAATTTATGGTAAACAAATTATTTCAATTAAATTATTATAATATTTGAGATGCTGGAGAAGATTTGTAGCTCAGATGGATGATTTTGGTGGAGTTTTGTTTTCTGAACTGGATTGTTTGGTCGTGGAGCTTTCATTGTTCTCTTGAACAACATCATCAGAACAAGCTTCAGACAGAAGTTAAATGTTCGAACAGAACAAGCTGTTTCATAGCTTTGTTCTATGAAACGCATATGGAGAAATTCGAACAGTTTACTTCTATCTGAAGCTTGTATTGATGATGTCGTTCAGAAGATTGATGAAAGCTCCACGACCAAACCATCTAGCTCAGAGAGCAAAACTACATCAAAAAAATGTTATACTACTTAAATGAAAAATAATTTTTTTTAATTTTCATTCTATTTTGTATTATAGGGGTTTAAAATTAAAACATGTTTCCACTTTAAAATGTATGCCAAATTTAAAAATAATCAATATGAGGTAATTCATACTTTAATACATTATAACAATAATAATAATTTCTAGTTCCAATTGTTTACAATCACTTGAACCATTTTCTCATTGTTTAAATCTATGCGAATTATATATACGCAGTAATCATATCGTAAATATTGATGAAGTGGCACATTTAAAATATTTAAATATGCTTGAAAAATTATGGTTAAATGGCAATCCATGTTGTCTATTCTGTAAATTAATTCTTTATTTTTATTATTGTTATTTTGAATAAATAATTTTGATTTTAGTTAAAAATTATGAAAGAAATGAAAACGTTTTATATGATTCTTCAGTACTATATAGATGTACTGTGATACGTAATGTGCAAAGTTTAATACATTTAGATCAAGAAGGTAATATGAAAGATAATTCTTTTGTTATAATTCATTAAGTTTTTTTTATATACCAATTCAATTATCAATTTTGTAATTTATTGTCAATGATACATTGAATGTTGAATTCAGTTGGTATAAATGGTGGTAGATGGAGGTAGTCGACAGGAAACCCTGGACCATCATCTAATCTCAACATAGTGCACACAGTATCGAGTCACCTAGACTGATGGCCACATTGCGATATGGTTGATAGCATTCGATCTGCACTAATAAAGACTTGACATACATGACATTGATCACTACCCAGTGATCAATCAATGGTGATTAGTTGGTATAGCTGTACACATATGATTGACAGAATATGGTAACCATTCAAAAAAACATTTAATATGAAGGTTTGTAGAGATTAATGAATGTTATCGATATCACTAATCGACCTAATTTAGGCATCTATCGATGACAATGAGCAGTGCAAAACCACGATCTCACCAAGGTTGAAATCGAGGATCTTCAGGTTTGCACACAAACTCTTATCGTTTAGATCACAGAGCAAAAATCTAGTGATATGTATGTCTAAATTCCATCAATTCACGTTATCAGTCGATTATCTTAGAAATCTTAGAAGTTTGGTATAACAGAGATATTTGTGAACACGAGTGATATTCAGTTAACATAATATACATGTCGATTATTAGGCATGTTTTAATAAAGTGAAATTTTCGGTTGATAAATGCACTTTACTATTCATTATTTATGATAAAAATCGGAATTAAAATTATACACTAAACAATAACTTCTTACCAGAATGGGAATGTATATTGATTGTAGTAATGTTAATAGGTGAATTCATAAGTCAATTATAGAGTTGAGCAAGATTATGGATCGATTGAAGTAAGACATTAACACAGTTGGATGCTGGCTCAGTAGTCTGGAGGTTAGGGGTTCGCACGCGGGGCCAAAGATCATAAGTTCGAGCCCCACGTATAGCGTTGTGGATGCGCACTGTTGGTGAGCCCCATACTAGGACGAAACGTCCATCCAATGCTTTCAGGTTTCCAATGGTAATCTAGCTTAGCTCAACTCAATAATCCAACTATTAAAAATAACTTCTTACAACTAACTAGATAGCTGAATTTTTAACTACCTTAATAAATGTTACCTCGTAAACTTCATTCAATAAATTTGAAATGTCACCGTATATAAAAACTAAACAATAGAAAGTAGCTTCAGAAAAACTGCATCACAATCAATTACTTCAAATATATTTCATTAATCGTTCATGTTTATAATGTACCAGACAAATATTATGAATGTCTTATTTCAGTATTGAAATCTGACTCATTTTAATCAGAGAGGAGTTTTGTGGAGATTAATGTAATTTATTAATTGAATTCATGAGTCATTTAAAGCTAGACCACCATGGAAAAACCGGAAGCACTGGACGGTCGTTTTCTCCTATTGTGGGACTCCTCACAAGTGCGCATCCACGATCCCGCCCCAAGATTCGAACACAGGACCTATCGATCTCGTGCGTGAACGCTTAACCATTAGATCACTGAGCCGGTTGTCATCCAACGGTGTTAATGTCTAACTTCGACTAATCCACGAAATTGAGCGACATATCCACCATTGCTTCCAGTGAGTTACTATCTCACAACAGACCCGGTTAAACTTCACCGATAGGTCCTGGGTTCGAATCTCTCGGGGGTGATCGTGGATACGCACTGCTGAGGAGTCCCACAATAGAAGGAAACGACCGTCCAGTGCTTCCGGTTTTTCCGTGGTGGTCTAGCTTTAAATGACTCATGATCTCAACTATTGAAATTAAATTTATTTCTCATACAGTTAACTGATATGTTATTATAGTGGAAAAACTATAAGATGTGTATATGAGTATATTTTATTACAATATTGATTGAATACATATAAACTATGAGTATCATTATGTGGGAAAATTTATTTTCCTCTAATTTTCCATTTACTTAAATATCTGTTTATCAATCATTTTAATTCATTTTAGTAATTACATTAGAAGAACGAGAACTATCAGAAGAACATGGCATTTTACTAACAGCTCCACCGCCTCAATTAACAATTGATGAACAATCTCAATCAGAAATATCCGAAACAACGTTAACCAATATTGATCCAACTGATGTAGATGAATCTGTTAACACAAACAGTGTCATCGATATAACTTTAAGTTCAGACGTAGAAATGAAAAAAGATAGATGTCATTCGGATTTACTAGGTAAATATAAATTATTTTTGGTTGATATATTAGTGAAGAATATTTCAAGCTGTTTTTAGTAATTGGTAAATAATAACTGATAGACCATTGAAAATCAAAGAGCACTGGATATTTATTCTACCCTAGTGTGAAATTCTTCAGGAATATGGACTCAACTCCATCAGTTAAAAAGCCCAGAACCTTCAGTTCTTTCAATTATGTCTCACCTCAAAGTGAATTTGAGACAAATAATTGGGCGTTGTATACTGATAGAATTCAAATATGTCAGAGGTAAAGTAGTTATCCATCCAATAATAACAGCAATGATGTCACTCAATATTATGAGCTAGTTAAAGTTGGGTATATTGACCAGTAGATTTCAACCCAACGATCACTAACTTATGACCTGAAAATCCTGGGTTTCACTTCTAGTGAGTTTATGAGAAGAATATGCCACAAGTAAACGTTATTCTAGTGCCCCTTCATCTTGGTCTTCAATAGCCATTCAGCTGGTACCGTTTTGTGACGAAGAGCAGCTTTACGGATTTTTCTTCTCTCTGATGATTTACCTATGCTTATCTTCTTTTATATTTTTCAGTTACGAAAAAAGAATCCCAAATAAATAATCTAGATAATGATGTCATAAAAGATGTAAGTTAACCTGTATGTCGATTGCTCCTTTGATTACTATAAATGCTTTTTACCCTATATTTCGTTAAATATCACACTGATATAAATCATTCTCACGGTCGGTCTACGTTAAACGACATTTCTGCTTTTATTTTCAGTAAGCTAATTTACATTAAAATTCTAGACTATGAGCAAGTTCTGTCGCTTTTTATTTATCAAAGTATATGCTGTTTTAGAAAAAAGTAATTTGTACTAACTGACCTTTGAATAAGATTCCTTTTTCCTCTGGATTTTTTTTATCTAAAATAATTTTAAACGAGGCAGTAAACGTTTCAATGATGAGTACCGACCAAACTTCTGGGTATTTTATTGTTTCAAACCTTCCAATATTTTAGCTAACCATATTAATCCTTTACTTACGCCTGTAGCCCCTCTAGGGTTACTGCTGGTCCCAATCCCGGGCAAAGGGGTGGGTGGGCATGGTGCAGCGATTTCATCCAGTAGAAAACTAACTCTCTAAAAAATGCTTACCAGCTAGCCATATATTCAGTACTGAATGATTTTCAGTCTACTAAATTATTATAATGATTTACATACTGTAATTAAAACGTTTGAATAAATGCTGACTTTAGGTACAAAGAATGAAGTTTTTTTGGTAAAGTATCGTATACAAAAGCTGCTTATTTTATAGTAGAAAGAAACTATGATTCGTTTTTCCAATAGGTATTAATAAAATCATTCGAAAATTTTCTGTATGGTAAACTTCAGTGATGCAATTATTACAAGTATTCAGTGAAATTGATTCATTCCATGTATCAAAATATATCGGTTTGTTAATTTCCCACTTGTTTAGTAGAATATAATGTAACTAATTATGGTAGAGTAATATTTCAAAGTACTTATTATTTGAAAGTATTGTTTGTACGTCATGAATGAATTTGGATCAATCTCGATTATCATATGTTTATCTTGAGTGGGTACTTGAAAAATAGTTCAAGTTTTTGATGGAGTTTTGTTCTCTGGGCTGGATGGTTTGGTCGTGGAGATTTCATCGTTCTTCTGAACTACGTCATTAGCATAAACTTCAGATAGAAGTAAAGCGTGTTTCACAGCTGTGAACCACATATAGAGAAATTCGGACTCTTCAGTTCTATCTGAAGTTTGTGCTGATGATGTCGTTCACAAGAACGATGAAAACTCCACGACCAAACCATCCAGATCAGAGAACAAAACTCCATCAAAATCACCCACCTGAGCTACAAATCTTCTCCATCATCTCATAGTTTAAGTTTAAATTTTCATTGTATTAAGATTGTTGCTATCATTGGAATTCAGGAAAAGGATTTTATGTGAACGTCAACTCCGAGATTTAGGTACATTCAGATGACAATACTCAGATAAGATAGAAAGCTTTTCACGTAGTTTCCATTAAAGAAAAACAGTTTAATCTTAAAATTAGTTGTGAATACATAGAATATTCACAAGAGTATTTTTAATGAGAGTATTCCGATTTTGCATTCAATAAACTGAGCAGTAGAAGCATAAATTAAAGACACTCAAATTACGTAAAGTCATGATTTCATTCGCAAACTATTGCTGAGTATATACAGCTATTTCAGCTTAGTTTGTAACTTCAATAGTATGGACTAAAAATTGCGCGTGGCAGTGAACAATAAATGTTTATGTTTTGAGTTAAACACTACCATTAAACTCCTGAGCTATAACTCAATTGGCAGGATTTTCAATTTTAATTCATTGAATTCTTGACGGTTCTAAACTAAAACAAATTAGTTACTTAGTACTTCATGATTTTCAGTGGTTTTCAGGGTGATCGGTTGAAAAAAAGGAGGATAATTCGAGATATATAAACACACAAGTCATACAGAACAAATATACCTCATTGGATCTTACTAGTTATTTTATAGGTGGTGTTCACCTGAGACTGATCTCAGTTGGATTACCCTTGAAAACCATAGGACCTTGGTCGACTATTTTGTCTTGGTATAAGATTTATCTATAGTATCCATCCATGATTATACCAGCAGCCGAAACCACAACCTAGAGACACAGTAACTGGTGCCTAAGCGTTAAATGAGTGACTCAGCATTCATTGAATGACCCTGATGAAGACTATTGAGCCCATATAGCTGAACTTCATAAGCTATAACTTCTCACAAGAATTTCAAGAACTCATCTAGGATAAGTCACTGATAAGCCCGCGGTTATAGTTTCAACATGGAGAGTGACGATTACCACCTACAAACCAAACAAATTCCCCACAGCAGTATCCTTTTCAATGCATGAATTCGAATTAAACATTTCACTAGCAATCGCTTTGATAGAACACATTCATTCAATTACTAAAGGATTTCGGATTGTCGGTATCAAATCCATCATCAAGTAGGTTACATGCAATCACACTCTTAAAAATATCTTGATCATTTAATCTCCATCGCATTTAACAGCTGATTTCATCAACTGAACTTCAGTTGTAAATTTCTACTTATTTCTAAAAGTTTGAGTTTAACTTTCCGTCTATCGAGTTGAGTTTTTCTGAAGCTTCTACTGTATTATCATTGGATGTACACAGGATGTTATGACTGATTCATGAACCTATTTTTCACGAGCTAGAAAAGGTAATAAAACGTTTACATATATACTCTTCACTGAAATGTGTTTTTTTTTCTCAATTACTTTGTAGCCGAGATCAAAAAATGATATTGTCGAGCTAATCAATAACAATATAGATTCTAAATCACCTTTTATTAAAAGAAAAGGTCGAAATAGATCCTATTTACAGGATGTCACATTAAAAGAGACAAAGTAAGTAATTTTAATTGTATTACATTTGCACTAATATATAACCTTAATTAATATTAATTAATGTTCCAATCCCTCGTCTAAACCAGTCAACTTTATGTCATCAATTCACTATTAATTATCTAGAAGTGTATATCCTTTTTTTAGATTGTATCATCTATCACATTTATTATTACAGTATATTATGAACCAGTAGGTTTATATCCTAACATGTTTAGTCAAAATGTCTTTATCATATAAAGACTAGCCAAATAGTAATTACAACTAACGACATTAATGTTATTTTTAATTAGTAGTCTGTAATATGTACAAACTACTTAAAGTACAGATAATTTAAGTATCCTTACAAATGTCATTGACATTACAAGTCATAAAAGGACATGGCAATTGATATGGACCAATAATACAATTCATTTCATTTTTATACTTTTGTACAGAAACAACTTAGAACTTCGTACGTACGTACGTACGTACATCAGTTCGAGTTGCCATACCGCATTAGCACAGAGATGCAGTTGTCGATTCAAATCCCATAGTGGTAGAGGTAGTAAGAGTATAAGTAGTAATCGGAAAGACTAGGGTCTGATGTTATTCAAGCAGTATAATCCAGTTAAATAAAGTTGAAAAGAGAAGAAAAGAAGGAGACGTGAAGAATTCAGAAGATTAGAATTTGCGAGAACACAAAGAGTGGATGCACCTACGCCATTGCAAACGATTTTGAGCCATGTCAGTCAAGGTCTCTAACCATCGGTTGCTATCATCTCGCGGATCCCAACCAGGTAGCCAACACCTGCTAACATGACTCAGTCCACTTGTCAGTGACTTCATGGATTTGTGCTATGTTCAATAATGTTATTATGCCTATCATGATGTACTAATGTAATGAACGAGAGCACCAGTGAGGACAATCAAATATATTTTAATACAACATTACAGAATCTCTTGGTAAAATCTGAGATCCATACAGTAAATATTTCATTTGTAAAATGTTAATCAATTGTCTCAGACTTGATTGTTCCTTAGTTTTCATACCAATCACTCTCTGTTCTAGTGCTCTTCTCTTCGATTTTTCTAACCTTCTGCTGCCAAGCATTTCAATTTCGGTTGGTGCTACGTACTACTTATATCTGTTGACATCAGTAGCACAAATCACACTACTAGTAATTTCTTATAATCCGGAATAATTGAATGAATATTGGAAGAAAAACCATTTATCATGTAGAATAATGTGAATGTATATTCACTGATAAAATTATCAGTTCTGAAATACGAAAACTCCAGTCAGATTGGCCTATTCAATCGAACTAAATAAATCACAGTTGTAACATTCAGTCATTATAATTTGAAAAACAATAAATTTATAGTGAAAATTCCCATTTTGCAATTTGGTAAATAAAGGAGGAACGAATTGAGCGAAGAAATTTCTTTTCAATTAGTTCTTCACAGGTTGAAATCATGAGTCAGTTGAAGCTAGACCACCACTGGAAATCTGGAAGCACAGGACGGCCGTTTCGTCCTAGTATGGGGCTCCTCAGCGGAGCGCATCCACGAACCCGCCCCCTGCGGGATTCGAACCCAGGACCTACTGGCTTCGCGCGCGAGCACCTAACCATTAGACCACTGAGCCGGCATCCAACGGTTTTAATGTCCAACTTCAACCAATCCACGAAGTTGCGCCATCGAACACCAATGTTTTCAGTGAGCTGATATCTCAGCTGATATATCCCATACTAGGACGAAACGGCCGTCCAGTGCTTCCAGGTTTTCAATGGTGGTCTAGCTTCAACTGACTCATGATTTCAACCTGTGAAATTTACTAAAATCTCCACAAAACTCATTCTGATAATTAGTTTTTCATCATGGCTCTACACTAATATATATACGATTTACAATAATAACATAATACTCATCGAGTAGATACGTTACGTAATAATTACATAATGACATTTAAATTAACATTGATTAATTGGAAGAAAGAGGATTATTAATATTCAAAGTGATCAAGAAGTTGCTACGTTGCGTAATGTAAGAAACAAAGAAGGAACAGAATTTTAACGGATGGTCAATAGGATGGTAGTTACGTAAGAATCAAGAGATGAATGTTGAGAAGTTATTAAGTTCAAAAGCAACAGAAACAAAATTACAAATGTTAAAAAAAAACAAGTGGAAGAAGTATGAAAAATAGTTCTTTTGAAGGAAATCTTAAACTGATGGCCAGGGCAGAGAAAGTGCTTGTACGAATCTCTTTTGAATACAAAGGTCAGGTTTGTGAACATGGATTGCGATGGCTCAGTTTATTGACTATTGCCTCCTACGTTCACAGCCACTTTTTGGCTTTATTGTGTACAAATGTTACTTCCTACTTTATGGTGTGTTGCGGTCTGTTTTGGTTGATATATAAACACAGTATGTTTGAAATAAATGATTCGATTCGATTCGCATATTGGAAGCTGGTATTTGGTGTTCTGGACTCAAGTGGACGGGTTAGGTGGACATAGGACCAATAAGGACGCTAGACTTCCTATACCGGTCGAACGTCATTAAACTTGGCACAGTGCTAAGATTGTATAAGTCGTATTTTGATTGGTGGATAAATCACGTGATAAAAAGCCGGACATAAAGTCACAACAATTGTAAGATGGGATTTATTTCTTAAATTGTACATAAAAAGCCTCTTCATATTCTTTGGTTTTCATCTTAGCTTGCACTATTTTCCAAAGTCAAATAATTCCATATTAATGTAACCGAACTGAGTAGATAGTAATTTTGAAAAGAACAAACTAGATTTTTGGGTATCGGACCATAGAATTATTTTATTTTTCAGCCTTAAATAAACCAAACAAACAGACATAGGAAAATGTATCATATGGAGTCTGTTGAGATTTATTTTGAATTCTCCAACAATGATTCAAATGTATCTTACTGTGGTGTATGTTAGTTGTGTTTGACGGATATAAGTAGTACGTAACACCAATCGGAAATAAAATACCTGTAAGAAGATTCAGTTGAAGAAAATAGTACGGTAAACAGAATAAGAGTGGGAATAACAACAGAACTGAGAGAATCATAAAGCATGTAACGGGCAAGTGAAGGAAAATGTACAAATTATGTATTTAATGTATGGTTTTCATAATTTATGAATACAGTCTATAATTTTGCATTAAACAGTAGATTGGTTATCCCTACCAAGTGTTCGTCCACTTCACCATCACCTATGTATTGTCCATGTTATGTTCGTTAACTTGAATGCTCTTATCGATTCGTTTTACTCGGAACGGAACGAAGAATCAAGGATTCAGAGACTCAATAGGTTATAGTGGTCCGTTGTCCCCGACTCAGGTAACTCGATTCAGAAGTCTTGGTAAGATGTAGTAAGTGTATTCTACAGACAAACAGAAGATACCAGGTCCCTCAAGCACAGAAATCAAGCGTATTTATACAAAAAATATATAATCGATATTGCCATGGAAGTTATTAAACATTTAGTCGATAAGTTCATCAATCGACTATGTGTGTGGGTGGTAAGAACTGCTCAAGCATACATCTGCATACGAGCTCCAAAAAGATAAAATTATAAAATATGAGTTTTGGGGATCTAACGTCCCCAACAGTCCAGTCGATATCTTCTGTCACAATGAATCATCTTCAATTGAATCAACTTTATAAAACAATTCCCTATTCTAAAATCTACTAATTTTTTCTTATTAATACAAAAACTATTCTTCCATCACCTAATTTAGTTTTCTTTAATGTTTACTTTTTTGGTAATTAAAGTAAAATTCGTCAAGAATACGGCTTAAAACCGATAAATAAGAATAAAATTTCTTCACCTGCTAAACGACTGCAATCGATCGATCAGAAGGTGAGTATAGTTATCCAATCGGTCAAATATCCCATCTCTCCTTTTTGTTCATTTACGTTTTTCTTTAGAATATAAATAAATTTTGTAAGAAAAATGTAAGTGTATACGTTGGTTTTTGAATTAAACTAACGTTTTAATCGTCAAGACATAGATAGATAGATGAACTTGGCAATCCGTACACACATACAAATATAGCTGATTGCCAAAATAAAAGATATGGGAAGTTTGTATGGAGATTTTTTAAAATCCAAATATAGTTCACACTACTAATTAACTTTACCCTTAAATAGTATTTGAAAAACAAATGGAACTAAATAACTGTTTAATCTTAACATATAACTTCGCAATCGTGTTCATCAACGACATCATCAAGGATAGAATAGAATATCTACAGGCTTTGAACTATTAGATTACAAAGGAATAACTAAAAACCACCAGCGTTAACAGATGTAATACTTCAATTTCCATTGTCAGTTACACATTTATTTCCTATTGATTTTTGTCATTCAATCAGCTGTTTTTTCCCATCAACTAACTACAAAACACAAATAACTGAAAGTTTGTAAAAAAAAAGATAATCATAGTTATTAAGATATCTTTGCTTCTGTGATAAAATATGTGTTCAGAATCAATGAAATGAATATAAGATATCGTCTATATCGGCAAAAAGGAAACATGTGTAAGTCGTATGCATTTGATGAAATATATCTTCCAAACACTGGTAGTGTATCGTGAAGTGGAATTATCAGGTCAAATGTTGGGGCTATAAACTCTCGTCTATTGAACCGGTAAAGACTAGTGTTACACATCCTTTATATCTGGAAATGTAATACTGACCGGTATAAATGCATGCTTGATAAAAACTAGTAGTAGACCACATCAAGGTACAGCATCAAACCATAAAACTAGTTATTGTCTATCTCAATCTTGTATGTAAACCCATACTTCCTGGTTAGATCTCTTACTATAGCCTTAATCTTTGGTTATAATAATAATTGATAAAACTGGATACAAGTTCATTCATCTTTAATCTATCCAAGGTAAAAGTATGTAACATGCCGCCAACACAATATGTTTCTAAGTGTTTAATTTGTCCATGATAAAAAGCGTAGAACTTCTGTCAGTTATTCTTAAGGCATTATGAATTAATGATTAGTAATTTAATACTATTGTGGTGTGAGCTACTTATATTCACATAAGTAGTATATAGCGATGGTCAGTAATAAAAATTATTTCAATAGAAGATCGAAAATAAAAAGATGGGAATGGAAAGCGATTGGTATGAAAATGCACGAACAATGAATTATGAGACGATAGACTGATATTTGCAAAAGGAACAGTCAAGCGTGAGACAATTGATTGATATTATGCAAATTAAGTATTCACTGTATAGTTCTCAGACTTTAGTTAGATGTTCTGTAATTCTGTGTTCTGTTATATTTCATTGTCCCCACTCGTGTTCTTGTTCAGTGCACTATCTATATGAATAATGATATTACAGAAATTGTTAAATTCAACTTATGAATAGTTAACCTATCCCTATGGTGCACATGGACTCCAGCATGCTGAGGGATTAAAAGGACGTATGAACCAATCGTTGGTCACCGGCTACCATGGGACTGCATCTCCTTACGATGCTCCACTGCCTTGTGGATCAGACCTTCTGGTCGAAGGCTCCGGGCGTGGCCCCCTAAGATAACCACCTGCTTCGGTCTAGGCACCCGAGCAGTATCACAGCCTTCACACAAATCAAATGTGATTTGTGTGGCGCATATATATTTGGTGCCCCGTTGTACCAAAATCCATGTGATCAAATAAATAAATAAAATAACCTAATTTATATACTTTCATACCTATTTCAAAAATCCCTCACTTTTTTTAATGCTTTAGAACATATCAACTAAAGTCAACATGTTTCCATACAGTAACTTTTGTTAATTCACGATTCTATTTATAAATTTCAGTGTTCTTATTTCCTAAAAAGAAATTTCTTTTTTCTTTAATGATTTGAACTATGTAGAATGAGAAAATTGTTCGAAATTCAATTATACGATTATTAAAAACATTGAATTATGAAAGTTTAGAAAGAATTATTCAAGCAGCTGAAAAACGTATATTACGTTTAACTGGTAGTTCAAAATTACATTCATTATTAGTGAATGATAATGTTGTTGTTGTTGAAGAAGAAGAAGAAGAAGAAGAAAATAACAATGAATGTACATTAAATGGAACTTATGATTGTTCAAATTATATGAATGGAGATAAATAAATTTGCTTAGACAATTAATAGATGTTTACATGTGACAGATCATAAAACTAATTAACAATTATATGATGGACATTTCAATGAACAACTAGACATCATTATTTCAACGGTTATGTCTTCTTCTTTTTTTGATTTCCTCATTTTGGGCTATACTCACTATTATCTCATCTAAATTGATAAATGTAAATAAGATTTTACAAAAACTAATTCATTGAATGATGATAAATAGGGTCTATAAAAAGTTTAAAAAAACCTTTCGATTACCCTGTGATTCTTTTTATTGATTAATAACTTGCAAAGGTGAAAAAGTGTAATCAATCATATTTTAATTGATTTGTCATGCAAATTCATTATCATAATTAAAGTATATTTACTCAAACATTTCGACTTATTTTCATGAAATTCTATTGTTTAAAACAATGATAATTTGAAATATGATTGGTCGGTCACAATTGATTGATCACTGGGTGGCGATAAATGTCATGCGTGTCTAGTCCTTATTTACTGCAGATCGAATGCTATCGACCATGTTGCAATGTGACCACCAGTCTAATTGACTCGACATTTCGGGCACTATATATTGAGATTAGATGGTGGTAGGAGGTAGTCAATCAATCAATTGTGATTACATCTCAGTCCTACACGAAGTCGGTCGCGGCTCGGATAGCGCAGTGGTAACGTCTCTGACTGTGAAGCTGGGTGACACGAGATCGAGTCTGCCAGTGAGCACCAGTTCCCTCAAGATTACAGGTACACCTTGTTGACAAGTGCCAAGTAGCACGAAACCTGGGTCCAGGGTTTCCTGTTGACTACCTCCAACCACCATCTAATGATTGGTCGGTTTCTGATTCTATATTCTTCATTGTGTAATAAATCGAAATAGTATAGGTTTACTTGTTAATGATCATTCGTATAAAAGTTCACAATCCTATAATGTTTCTCAATTTTCTTTAAGATAAATGTATTAAAGTATTTAAAAACGATAGGAACATGTTTAATAAGGGTTCTGTAAAAATATCGAACAGATGTATTTATTTCATACACATAGTTCCCTTTATCATTTTGAAAAGAGCCAGAACAAACATTCTAGCAGAATAGAATGAATTCATTTTATTTCGTTGTACAGGACATCAGGTCGATACCCTACAATCATTCAAGGTGATTAGTAAGTAGCCAAACTCCAGTCTTCTGTAGTTTGCTGAAGCAGTAGCTATCAGATGCCAAAAACCTGATTTATGTGTTCAAAAGAGATGGTTATTAATCTTTCCTTGCCTTGGTGACTAATATTCCTTCGCTGTATCTTAATATGTTTTTTTTCTTTTTCTTTAATCTCTTTCTTGCACTTATCACATCCTTGAGTTTTATTCCAACTATCTTTTAAATTATTAATCTTATTTTATAAACTGAACTCTACATATTTTATTCCTATCGATGTTTACTTGTTTCTAGCCGTTTGAACTGTTGTCACAATGTTTTTTCACATAAGGTATATATTTACAGTATTCAGTCTGTTAAATTCATTTACACCTTTGCTATACTGTACGAATATGTCTTCATTATAACTTCCAATCAAACTCTTTCATGTAAGTAATTTAAAACCATTATGTAATTATGATTTTTTAATATCACAGGTTGTAAGCAGCTGACGAGAACCAACGAAATAAAAATGAATTCATGCTATTCTGCTAGAATGTTTGTTCTTGCTCTTTTCAAGATGTATTTATAGTTTATAATTAATCTTACTGAAATCATTATGTGCATATGTAGCACAAATCACTCAGTACCTTATATAACCCCTGTAAATTTTAAAGTGAAGAGGAAAGAAAATCGTAAATCATAATCACTGAGATTAGTATTAAAATTGGCACCTAAAATTGAATGATAACTCAAAAACAATGTATAATTTCAGAAGGGGTTTTGTGGATATTATAATAATTTTAATAGTTGGGATCATGAGTCAGTTAAAGCTAGACCGCCATGGAAAACCTGATAGCATTGGACGGCCGTTTCGTCCTATTGTGTGACTTTTCAACTGTGCACATCCACGATGCCGCCTCGCGCGCTTCAACTGACTCATGATCTTAACTATTAGAATTATCATAATATCAACAAAAAAACCCTTTTTTATATTAGTCAACATGTTCTCACTTCAAGATGCGTTTCCTGGAGCTCTAGTGAGAAGCACTGATCAGTGAAGTTCAACTGGGTCTGTTGTGAGGTAGTGTTATATCTGGTGACCGCCGATTACAGAGCAGTGACTTATCGATCGGACCAAGGTCGCGTAAAACACGTGCGAGCAGTCTAGAGTCCTGATTAGCCATGCTTTCCGCCTAGCCCAATCAGTTAAATCCAGAATACCGATCCCAGCCTCTGTGATATGAATCATGTACTTCAAACATACGGAGTTTATATACCAATCAAACAGACCACAACCTACCAATAAAATATGAAACAACATTTGTACAAGAATTAGCCAGATGTGGCTGTGAATGAGGGAGGCAGTAATTAATATACTGGGTATAACTCAAGAATGGTAAAACGTATAAATAAAGCTTATAATAAGAGAAATATGAATATGCATAGTTTAGTTACTTAATAATTATACAATAGGAATATAAGTTTAGTATTGGTCCATAAATGGATCCCAAAGTTACTATTCATTATTCTTGTTGGGACATAGCAGATAGTAACTCACTGAAGACAATGGTGGATGTGTCACTCAATTTCGTGAACTAGTTGAAGTTAGACATTAACACCGTTGGATGACGACCGGCTCAGTGAACTAGTGGGTAGGCGTCCGCGCGCGAGATCGATTGGTTCTAGGTTTGAATCTCTCGTGACGGGATCGTAGATGCGCACTAGTGAGGAGTCCCACAATAGGACGAATCTGCCGTCCAGTGCTGCCAGTTTTTTCCATGTTTGTTTAGCTCCAAATGACTCATGATCTCAACATATTTATTTCTTTATTTATCTGATTATTATAAACTCTGGATGTTCAATATAACTATAAAGTTTAGAACGACTTAATAATTGTTCAAAATTTGATATCTGCCTAAACCATCAGAAAAAGTGAACTTAAATCATATTAATTATCATTCAAAATATCAGTTTTAAAAAGAAAAAAGAAATTAATGGCTAAAATTTGATGATTGAGTCATTGAAACTTTGTTTATCATTTTCATTAGTAAACAGTTGTTTTGTTTTTTACTTGATGTAATAACACTTTAAAATTATTAAACGTTTAATGGTCACGAATAGACCGTAGTGTCAGTTATTATGTTAAGCCTATATACCTTATTCTAGCTTTCGGACAGCCCATTCTATTCATTCTACTTGAGTCACATTCTGACCTTGTTATTTATTCGCTTATCAATCTTGACTGTTTTTATATGAGCACGTAGGTGTGTGCACATTTCTTATCCCTTTACTCATCACATGTCTGTAATTTACTTTGTATAACTATAAATATTGATTAACGCTTGGTTAAATGCGAGTTGGCTTACCCGCCATCTCAGCTATGTGTCGTTTCTCTTCTCTCTATTCCATTCGCTTTATATACAAAATATATGTATTCACGAGTCCATTCTCGCTATTCGACTTATTTCACTCCGTTATTGACTAACGCGATTTAATTCAATGATTATATAAAAGGATAGGCGATAACAAACATTCATACGATCTAATTGGAGTCAGATTTTGGGCCACTAAAAATCTACACAGTTTTTGTGAATGCCTTCTGATTATATTTCTGTTTAACAACCGCTTATTGCCTAAACTAATTTATTTAAATATAGAAACCTTTATTATGAAGTTGATCATGATCCTTGAATTAATAGTATAACCATCCAATCACTCAATTAATCAATCAATCAATCAATAATGGTCTGAATGATATTTGTTAAGGTTATTCAAACTTACCCGATTTAAAATTTATCATAAACAAGTCACATATAAAACAAAAGAAACATTTTACAAAGTATTCAACGAGAAATAATTAGTATTCGAAAATATGCAAATTCTTTTGTGTAACTTTTTGATATTATTTATCAAAATTAATTAAGTTTATGTAAAATATGTAACATGTACTGATATCCATAGTTTCTTTATTTTGAGCTAATGGAATCTGATTACTTATGTTCGTTACCCCTCGGTGGATGAACATGGGCCACTCACCAGAATTCTTCATTCAACCATGTCCTGGGCAATCCTTTCCAGTGGTTATTCATCTTTTTCATGTGTGCTTCCAATTCTCAGTGATGCGTGTTCTTTGGCCTTCCTCTTTTCTGTTTCCCTTCAGAATTCCAAGTTAGGGCTTGTCTCGTGATGCAGTTTGATGATTTCCGTAATACGTGGATCAAGAAAAATTGAACGAGAATGTGAAACATTGGAAGAAATCAAGCGGATTCTAAACAAGCATAGTATAAGAGTGTATTTTAGGGCGAGTGACACCGTAAAATCGATATTAGTGAAAGTTAGGGATAGGTTACCAAAGGAAGAACAACAAAATAATGTTTATGAAACTAACTGTTATGATTGTAATGCAGCTTATGTGGGAGAAGCATACAGATAATTGAATGTGAGGTTTGGAAAATGTTCCTGAATCTTCGGTTGACTTAAAGAAACTTCAGAATAAGTCTGCGATAGCGTTACATGCGTTAAAAACAGGACACAAGATTAATGTTGAAAGGACCAAAATAATTCAGATAGGTTTTAACACTCATAAAGACTGACAGCAGAAGCGCTGTATACATGGGCGAACAAGAACAGCCTGAACCGAAAGGATGGTATTCAACTAGCGACCACCTGGCAAATATTCATTGACAAGTAATTTTGACCCTTTCTATATTCAACCTGTTTATTTCGCATGCATCGTTATTTTGACTGAAATTAATGAGTTTTTTAGCATTGCAATAATGTATTTGATGATTCTCAAATTGACATGCACATCAATGATTCAGAAACAATTTTTCAACCTTGAACTTGCACTTTTATTTGTTTATCTACTCCTTCATGTAAAACATAGTAACACCGAATATCAATAATTAATAAATTAATCTTACACATACATACACTGTTACGCACACTTACATACATACAATTCGTTTTCAGCTAATTATAACTACGTTGTGAAGTTTTCACATGATTACCATGTAACTGACTCACGTTATTCTATTTTACAAAAACCAACATCTAAATATGATTGGATTATCACAGTATGGTTTTGATTACTAAAAAGCTATATATTTCGTTGATGATTTTGATTATTACCCTGAAGAAGTCCAGACAAGTTAGCTGGACGAAACGTTGAAATTATTGAAATTTCAATTGCTGAGATTATTTCAAATATAATTTTCACATATAATGAATCAAGAATTGTTG